CTACTATCGCTATGTCAACCAAACTCTATAGAGTCCTTTCCTTCACGCATTTCCATATACAGTTCAAAACCGGAAGAAATTGGATAATAACCACGCCAACCTCCCATATAAAGGTTATGTTGAAAATCACTAAAAGTGCGTTAACCGACTAACAAAAAACGTCAGAAAGACTAAATTTTACGGAAGAATTGGCAGAAGGAAGCTGCACGCAGGCTATTTTCATGTAATGCAGAGGGCATCATTTTTATACTCTCGCAATAAAGTTGCTAATAACGGTATATATCGTCAGATATATGGTTACATATACCAAAGTGATCATTGTGACGAGTAGAGTTGAAATCCGGATGTCTGTCTATCCGTCCGGGCAAGCTGTAACTTGAGAAAAAATGGAGATATCTTGATGAAACTTGTCATGCGAGAGTATAAAATGTTCGGTGAACCCGAACTTAGCCCTTCCTTACTTGTTAATAATAGTGTATTTTCTTTCGTAAAATGAATGAAATCAGGGTGATACTTCACCTAGTTTAAAATATTGGTTTGACAACAGCTGAACGTAGTTTCGCGGTTTTGAACTTTGCAAGTTGCGAGAGTATAAATGTTCGGTTACACCTTAGCTCTTTCTTACTTGTTTAGTATAAACTTTTGCCAACACATGAAATTATGTAGATATTGTCGGGTTCCGCCCATTCACTGTGCTACCATCTCATGTTGCCAAAAAATATGTTTGCCAATTTTCATCAAGGCATCTCCATTTTACTCAAATTATGGCTTGCACCATCGACGGTCGGACGGGCAAACAGTTATTCGGATTTGAAGTCGTCTTGTCATTCTGATCATCTATATGGTCATTAATTGTCTTAAGGAAAGTATATGGACAAGTTTTCTTAATAACTACATGCTTTGTCGCTGAATTAGAATGGAATTGTAGAGAACTTCGATCCTCTAGTTGACGTTTTTCACATTAACTTAATATATTAAGTTTAGCCTCTTCGAACGAGCTAATATCACATACACATTACAAATTTGAATTTGTTATAATTTTAGCTGACGCGATTTAAAGGAACTAATTTTAAGTTTGTGTGTATAAGTCAAGAAGATACCAAATTTAATCAGGATGACCCGTTCATCAGTCCATACAAGCTATAGCCTAAGTAAAAATTAAGATATCTTGATACAACTTGGTAGACATGTTTTTTGGACATCTTATCTTATATATAAAAAGTACGTGTCACGTTGGTTGTCCGCGATCAAAAATGCATTGAAAGTTCTATTAAATGGACAGGCTGGTAACCAAACATTGAGAAATAAATGCATTATTTTTTTATTTTATTTGTATGAAAATATTCAAAATTAAACCTCAAGTACAACCCCTTGGATTTTTATACCTGTATTTTAATTGTATTGAATCGTTTATTATTGAATAATGGTGTAAAATGTATACCACCGCAACGCGTGGCTGGATCCCCTAGTATTATATAAATTCCATAGTAAGTAAGATTAGTGCAAATCTAATTATACATGTAACAAGTAAGGAAGGGCTAAGTTCGGGTGTCACCAACATTTTATACTCTCGCATGATAAAGTGATAATCGAGATTTCAGGCGTGGTTGTGAACCGATTTCACCCATATTTGGTAAATGTCATCAGGGTGCTAAGAAAATATTATATACCGAATTTCATTCAAATCGGTCGAGTACTTAATGAGATATGGTTTTGGTCCATAAGTGGGCGACACCACGCCCGTTTTCAATTTAAAAAAAAAAGCCTGGATGCAGCTTCCTTCTGACATTTCTTCCGTAAAATTTAGTGTTTCTGACGTTTTTTGTTAGTCGGTTAACGCACTTTTAGTGATTTTCAACATAACCTTTRTATGGGAGGTGGGCGTGGTTATTATCCGATTTCTTTTATTTTTGAACTGTATATGGAAATGCCTAAAAGAAACGACTCTATACAGTTTGGTTGACATAGCTATAGTAGTTTTCGAGATATGTWCAAAAAASTTAGTAGGGGSSGGGRCCACGCCCACTTTTCCAAAAAAATTACGTCCAAATATGCCCCTCCCTAGTGCGATCCTTTGTGCCAAATTTCATTTTAATATCTTTATTTAAGGCTTAGTTATGACATTTTATAGGTTTTCGGTTTCCGCCATTTTGTGGGCGTGGCGGGGGCCGATTTTGCCCATCTTCGAACTTAACCTTCTTATGGAGCCAAGAAATACGTGTACCAAGTTTCATCATGATATCTCAATTTTTACTCAAGTTACAGCTTGCACGTACGGACGGATAGACGGACGAACGGACAGACAGACATCCGGATTTCAACTCTACTCGTCACCCTGGTCACTTTGGTATATATAACCCTATATCTGACTCTTTTAGTTTTAGGACTTACAAACAACCGTTATGCGATCAAAACTATAATACTTTCCTTAGCAACTTTGTTGCGAGAGTATAAAAAGTTAGAATAGGTACATTTAGAAAATTTAGACAAAGATTATTTTTGCTTTATTCATGTTCATGGTTGTATCTCTAACCTAATATAGATATACATGTTCAAGTATACTTGTACAATGCAAATGGACATTTAATATGTCGTTTTAAGATTAAGTAGATCTACTTTCAATAAAAAGGTGTTAAATTAGCAATTCAAGTCTGCAATTTTATTAAATGTACATTGCCTTCAAATCAAAACTTCCCCTGACAATTCAATTACCTTCAACAATACAAATCGGGAGTGCATGATGAAGCGTAGATAAGTTGGCATAAACGTTACTCAATCGTACTGAGAAGGGAGAGTCAGCGGACCGCCTGAGGGAAAATGCGTGCGCTTTTTATAAGGGGTGTCTATGAAGTGCAGCACCACCAGTTACCGTGAGTTAAATAACAACAAAAACCTTGTATGGGAAGGTAGTCCACTAATAACAAGAGACACCTTTGCGCCTCAGTGCTCTTGGTGATGCTTACTTTGCATATTCACTGTCATAATGTACATCCCTATATGAGTGCACATATGTATGTAAGTTTGTGTACTTGTGTATGCTTCTTTGGTAAATGATTTGTATATCGAGGTTGTGTACCCCTCGTCATTGTGGGGAGTTTAGCTGCTGGCTGTAGCTAATTTAATAATTTATCAATTTATCTGCAACTACAACAATCCGTACATACAAGCCCACAATGACCAACTACTTACGTTTTTCGAGTGCCAGCACGGATCGCATCGAATACTCAACCAGAGCAGATGAACTAAACTCCGAGGCGGGCATATGCAGATATGTTAAGCTAATGCCTATTGTGCCTTTGTTGTCGCATCAAATGGGTAATAATTTAAAAATTTCCACACTAATCACTACACATTCAAATGAGCAGCAACAACACAATGGAATTTACACCATATTACATTATATGGTGTATTCTAGCATTGTATCTACATAAATTTAAATAAAGACACCAGGACACCCTTTGGCGGAACAATTGGCAAACAGCCGATTTACCGTAGCCTTGTTTTTGTGAACTTTAAAATTAAATGATGTGGCAACAAAACGATTATTCAAAATTGTTTTTGGAAAATCAGACAAATTGAAAACATTTATTTATAATTGGCACAGTACATGTGGTCCAATTTGTGCTTGCAGACTCGGAAGTCTTGCACCATACGCTGCGGAAGCGTACAGTACGTACCCATAGAAAATATGTTTGTCGGGTGAAAAAGGTTCGTCCTCAACCTCTCAACTCATTTGTTTACTTTTGGTCTCGTGATAAATAAAAAGTTCGATAAAAATTCTAACAAAGGAATTGGAAAGAAAGGAGAAGGTCTGTGCGTGTGTCAAAACACGTATGTATGTGACATATATTTGCACTTTCCATGTGTGACACATGCAGGCGATCTAAAAAATCCTTTTACAAAGTTACAAAGTGCTGTACAGTAGGCAATATATGAGGCATAGGTGTTGGGAGGATACAGTAAGTGATGCGTAAAAAAGTATTGAATAATCCGTTTTCGGCAAAAAAAAATCAAGACTAACATACACCTGTGAAAACAGTACTTCAAAGAGTTTTTTCTGACTTAAGTTTGATCGATTTTCCCAGTAAGCAATCAGTACATAATTTGTCCACATTTTCCTAATAGTAATAGGACATATTTCCCCGAACATATTTCTGCCATGTTTAACCACTAAATAAGGCACTCTACTTTCCTCGTTTTTATTCCTAACTATTTAGTGATTGGCACAATTTTTTTATGCTTCTAAATTTGCATAATCGGACCGCCAACTTTCCAAAATAAACTAATAACACTGTCCAAAAGCATTTAGGAACAGAATAGCGACCCTATAATTCTGAAAGGGTATGTTGAGTAGATCATTTTTGTAGAACAAACCTATGGTCCAGCACGTCTGAGTTTTTTTTACAGTGGGTCAAAGTTTTCATTTTTTGGTCGAAGGGAGCATTATACTATACGAAAAAAATGTTGTAAGTTAATGTCTGAGAGAATTCTTATGGTCAGAGTTGTATAGTGGAATTGTATGAGGATTATTTTTGTGGAAGATCTTAACCCTCTAACTAGTTTCTTTATGGGTCAATTTGACCCTTTTTTCGAGAAAATCAAAAAATATTTTTTAAAAAAGGACATTTAAGGATTAAAATATTCTACGAAAATGATTGGCGGAAAATTTCAGTGGGGCTCACCAAAGACATCATTGTTGTAAATGAAGCTCTTTACGATTGATAAACAAATTATAATTTTGTTTTAATAGTGGTTTATTATAGTATGTGCATATTTATTTTTTTGCTTCAGCAGTAGTAGGACAATGGATTAAAGATTAAACTTAATATGCTTTCCTGTGTAGCTTGACGTGAATGTTGCGATGTGTCAAGGTTTCTGTACAAGCCCCATGCGTATTCAGCAAGCATTACACTTCGGGATTTCCTTTTGAATCTTTCTTCCAATACCTTTATATCCTGATGAAGCCTTTCACCGTGTTCATCTGAAACCGCTCCAAGGTTTTATTTAAAAAAATTGAGATGAGAGTGCAGAAAATGCAGCTTTAGTGACATCTTAACGTCAATATTGTTAAAACCGATTAGCATACTTTCAATATTTTCTGCATAGTTTTGTGCTTTTGAGTTTCCAAGGAATTCTGATATAACCAGCTGCATAAAGTCAAATGCTGTCGTTTGCATATCCGACAGATGACCATAAAATTCTTCATCTTGTAATAATTTTCTTATATCGGGTCCAACGAGCATTCCTAGAAAAGGTAGTTTACATTAAATGAAATAAATTATTTCTTAAAACCGTATTTTACCTTCTTTTAATTTTGCTGCAGATAATCTGGGGAAAATTGTTCGAATGCATTTGAAAGCATATCCTTGTGTATTTAAGCTTTTAATAAAACTTTTCACCACGCCCAACTTAATATGCAGCGGTGGAAGTATGACCTTATCTTTTGGGACAACAGATTCATGGATTACATTTAAGTCACCAATAATATTTTCTTTACGTTCTTCGAAATATTTAATATGATAATGGCTGCTGGTAGCACGTGAATCCCATTTACAAAGAAAGCACATATATTTTGTGTATCCTGTTTGCATTCCAGTCAATATTGCAATCATTTTGAAGTCTGCGCATACTTCCCATTTATATTTATAGTATTCAATTTTATTTAAGAGATTTCAAATATTTGCGTATGTTTCCTCCTTTTTTGTGGAATACGCAAACGGTATTGATGGATGCTGATTTCCATTGTGCAGTAAAACTGCTTTTAAGCTATCTATAAATCTATAAATAGTCGCCAAGCGGAAGAGTCCAGTGGAAGCTTTAGATATTTTAGAACCCCTTCAATACTGCAACAGTAAACAAGTTCTTCTGATTTTTTAAAATAACTTTCCAAATCGGCGTGTCTTTTTCTTGGCGATGTAACTTTTACATCGGCTTTTATCAAATTCCTGCTTTTCAATCTTGTACATAATATTTCAGCTTTCTCTTTTGTTAGTCCTAAATCTCTTACAAGATCTTCAAAATAAGCTTGGTCTATCAAATTAGGACATATGTTTAAACCACCAGTAATTAAATTTTATCTGATATGTTTTCAACCGCCGCTGTTATTTCTGTATTGGCGTATGTCATATTGGCCGAAAATGTATGTGTAGGCGGTTGAGGCACCGGAACACCTTCACAGCGCACTTCTGGTAAAATGATATTTGTTGCTTCGTATGCCATTATCGCGTAGTGCCTTTGGCTTCTACCAAATTTGTAATTTACGCAGAAATAGCTTGTATCTGATTAGTGATTTTCAGGTTCAATTCATACAATAGGCGCAGAAAATGGCAGCGCCTTAGCACCGCCTTTGCACCAGGTCAAAAGACCACTTTCGCAAGTAGTACAGACAGTTTTTGGTATCCAAGCTTCACATAAAAATCGTATTCCAAAGAAAAGAAAATATGGTTCTTCAATTGTAGGGAATATCTTTCTTCTGCTTTGAAGGTGCGTAAAAAGTCCACAAATAAAACAAAACCAATCTCTTAATTTGCAAACAGAATCCGCCATGCTTATTTAAGCTTTAATTGTTCTTTTTTATATTAATTTTAGTAAAAACCACACCCGATATGTACTGCTTAGTAAGTCAATTATGCTTAATTTTATCACACCCGAAGTCACAGCTGACTAGACGCGAGAACTCAGTGTTTGGCCCGGCCGAACTTGACGACGTTTTCACCTACTTTGTATATGTTGGCGTGTAATTTTTTTATCAATCGTAAAGAGCTTYATTTACAACAATGATGTCTTTGGTGASCCCCACTGAAATTTTCMGCCAAWCATTTTCGTAGAATATTTTAATCCTTAAATGTCCTTTTTTAAAGGATATTTTTTGATTTTCTCGAAAAAAGGGTCAAATTGACTCATAAAGAAACTAGTTAGAGGGTTAAGATCTTCCACAAAAATAATCCTCATACAATTCTACAATACAATTCGGACCATAAGAATTCTCTCAAACATTAACTTACAACATTTTTTCCATATAGTATAATGCTCCCTTCGACTAAAAAATGAAAACTTTGACCCACTGTAAAAAAAACTCAGACTTGCTGGACCATAAGTTTGTTCTACAAAACTGATCTACTCAATATACCCTTTCAGAATTATGGGGTCGCCATTCAGTTCTATTCAAAAAGTCTTCATTTGTTGGACAGTGTAATTCGAAAATGAGATAAATTCTAATATTCTTGATTACCTAAGTAATTGGACAAATCGGCATATATGTATAGTATTGTAGTTTCACTAACGTATGTAAATGTCGCTTTCATCAAAATATATAATTTTATAAATTGTAGCTATATATACAAAATGAAATTAGTTTTTCACCTATAATGTTACATGCAAAATATTTTTAAGAGAGTGGGATCGCTTTTATGTTTGCTAAATGCATCATTTGGGAAGATGGAGTCATGTGTAGAAGTTCACGCAAGTGAAGAAAGTTCTCTGATCGCCATACACTTGGGAGTGGCCAGAAACGATTTTTTGACATATGACTCAAGCAGCTCACGGCTTCCGGTCCTTGACCAAGTATCCTCTGGGTAGCCTAAGAACATCCGTTTGAAGGCGGGCTAAAGTGAGAAGGCGAAACATTCCCTGCATAGGGTTGTGTGCTGGGTTTGGGACCCACCACGTAAAAAAACCAACCCAATGAAAATTAGCAATCAGCCTCGTATGAGAGACCCCACTTTTGATGACGACCATGGCAAACGAAATAAGGACTACGAGTTGAGGGCATGCACCTGGAATGTCCGGTCCTTTAATTGGGAAGGTGCCGCTGCCCAGCTGGTTGATGTCCTCGTAAAAATAAAGGCTGACATCCCCGCCGTCCAAGAAATACGATGGACGGGACAAGGACAGAGACGAGTAGGTCCTTGTGGCATTTACTACAGTGGCCATATAAAGGAGCGCAAGTTTGGTGTGGGATTCATGGTAGGAGAGAGATTCCGTCGCCGAGTACTATCATTCACTCCGGTGAATGAACGTGTAGCCACAATCTGCATCAAAACGAGGAAGAGAAGGACGATGTGACCAAAGATGAATTTTATGAGTGCTTGGAAAGCACATATGAGAGCTGCCCTTGCCGCGATGTCAAAATCGTGCTTGGCGACTTTAACGCCAGGGTGGGCAAGGAAGGTATCTTTGGCACTGCGGTCGGTAAATTCAGCCTCCACGAGGAAACATCCCCAAATGGGTTGAGGCTGATCGACTTCGCCGGGGCCCGAAATATGATTATCTGTAGTACTAAATTCCACCATAAGAAGATACATCAAGCTATCTGGCCGTCTCCGGATCGAAAAACTACCAACCAGATCGATCATTTGTGACAGACGGAAGACACGTCTCCAGTGTTTTAGATGTGCGTGCGCTCCGAGGTCCTAACATAGACTCGGACCACGCGCCTCTGTGCAGCAAAAAACGCACGCCATCAAACACAAGGAAGGTTCGACGTCGAGAAGCTGCAATCACAATAGACAGCCGAACGATTTTCTACTCGGGAGGCCTGCTCTGAGAGCACTCGTCAACAACTCGGTATAAGGGAACTGTGAGACGGCATTTCAAACTCTTTACGTACAGCTGCAACCGAAGCAATTGGTTTTCGGAAAGTACAAAAGAAAAGCTGGTACGACGAGGAGTGCCGTGTCGCAGCGGAGAGAAAACAGGCTGCCTACCTCGCAACGTTACGACCGATGGGATAGATACCGAGAGTTGAAGAGGGAAGCGAGACGCATTTGCAGACAAAAAAAGAAAGAGGCCGAAATGCGTGAGTACGAAGAACTTGATAAACTGGCCGACAGGGGTAATGCTCGAAAATTCTAAGAAAAAATGCGGCGGCTAACAGAAGGTTTCAAGACCGGAGCATACTCTTGTAGAACCCGCAAAGGTGATCTAGTCACCAATGCCCAGAGCATACTTAAATTACGGAGGGAACACTTCTCCAGCCTGCTGAATGGCAGTGAACACACAACGCCAGGAGAAGGTGAACCCGATTCCCCAATCGATGATGATGGAGCAGACGTTCCATTGCCCGACCAGGAAGAAGTTCGAATAGCAATTACCCGCCTGAAGAACAACAAAGCGGCGGGGCCGATGGATTGCCGGCCGAGCTATTCAAACACGGCGGCGAAGTACTGATAAGGAGCATGCATCAGCTTCTTCGTAAAATATGGTCGGACGAAAGCATGCCCAACGATTCGAATTTAAGTTTGCTATGCCCAGTCCGCAAAAAAGGAGACCCCACAATCTGCGCCAACTATCGTGGGATAAGCCACCGTCCACAAACTGATTGGACCGTATCAGTGTGGCTTCAGACCTGGAAAATCAACAACCGACCAGATATTCACCATGCGCCAAATCTTGGAAAATACCCGTGAAAGGAGAATCGACACTCACCACCTCTTCGTCGATTTCAAAGCTGCTTTCGACAGCGCGAAAATTAGTTGCCTTTACGCCGCGATGTCTGAATTTGGTATCCCTGCAAAACTTATACGGCTGTGTGAGCTGACGTTGACACTCACGTCACTGTTGACGGTCTTAGCTTTGACGTTGTAAATAATTTCGTCTATCTTGGAACCAGCGTAAACTCCACCAACAATGTCAGCCTAGAAATCCAACGCAGGATAACTTTGCCAACAGGACTGGATAGGCAATTGAGAAGCAAAGTCCTCTCTCGACAAACAAAAACCAAACTCTATAAGTCGCTCATAATACTCGTCCTGCTATATGGTGTAGAGGCTTGGACGATGACAACAACGAATGAGTCGACGTTGCGAGTTTTCGAGAGAAAAGTTCTGCGACAAATTTATGGTCCTTTGCGCGTTTGCCACGGCGAATATCGGATTCGATGGAACGATGAGCTGTATGAGATATATGACGACATTGACATAGTTCAGTGAATTAAAAGACAGCGGCTACGCTGGCTAGGTCATGTTGTCCGGATGGAGGAAAACGCTCCAGCTCTGAAAGTACTCGACGCAGTACCTGCCGGGGGAAGCAGAGGAAGATCTCCACTCCGTTGGAAATACCAAGTGGAGAAGGACCTGTCTTCACTTGGAATGTCTAATTGGCGCCACGTAGCGAAAAGAAGAAACGACTGGAGCGCGATTGTTAACTCGGCTATAATCGCGTAAGCGGTGACCACGCCAATCAACAAGAAGAAGAAGATGAAATGCTTCATTTAAGGAACGTTTTGGTTACCCAACATTTGTTAAGATGTTAGGTGAAATAATAAAAATTTCTTATCGCATATCAAATACATTAGAGTCACAACTCAAAAATTTTCAAAATCTATTTTATTCCACATACTATATTAATATGTGATTTACAAACCTAAGACATTTTATTGTCATCGCTACCTTACCTTACTGGAAAATAACTTTTACAATTGCCTTCCTTGCTTCCCTTGGTCGATGTTAACTAGTGTCCGGCCGATTAAAGTGTCTCTAAAGATTAGAGAGGTCATGCCATGTGATGAACTCAAAAAATCACTTTTCTTTGTTTTCATAAATTGATTTCTCAACATGTTTATAATACG